AGTACGTGTATGTGTATGTGCAGTTGCTTGAAATTTTACTAAGTTGCGATTTTTGATACTTGAAATCATAAAAAGTGAGAATGAATTGAAAAACATACGATATTTATTTATTTATTTATTTATTTATGTTTTTTTTTCTGAAAGAAACATACATAAGAGAAGCAATGAGCCTCTACTTATATGGATATGTAAATATTTTCAAGTGTCTGTGCGTATTTGCGCACACATTTACACAACACGACAGTTCGCTGTTATTTATGCGCGCGTGTTTACATCCCAACATATCAGCGTTTCGAGCCAATTTATTTACTCTCCTTTTGTATCTTATTACAGTCTTACAAAAATGTTGGTGCAGCGGGCAGGCAAAAGTAGGCTTAAGAATATAGTTATGACGATGGTATTGGTAATACATGTAGTGTAGTGTTGTTTTGTTGCTCCGTTACTTCTTCCAAGTAAATTTGTAAAAGGGCTTCGTAAGATCGCTTTGTATAAACATGTCTGCGCTTTGCTGATAACACTTTATTACAACATGAGCCACATAGTACCACACAAACAACAGCGCTGCAGCACATCACAAAATGGCTAACTGTCTTATTATCTCTGCCGATATACATGCATATGTATACATCACTTACACTTATATGCATACATGACGAGCTTATGTATGTCAATCCTTTGTGCAAGCGTGTACATGACTGCTTTCATGCGCGGTATGTGCTTATGACGAGTAACAAGCAAGCAAGCAAGCAAGCAAACAAACAAACATCATTCACTTAACTGTATCTAATAGTAAATGATAAGAGTATTTATGTTGGGCGTATATTCCTATGTGTAACTTTTTGCCCTTGTATGTGTGTATATTTGTATGAGCAATTTAAAGTTCACTTGACTTCATTTTTAAATAATAAAAACAAAATTACTTCAGATAGATAGAATTGCAAAAATAGAATCAAATTTGTTTTTCATGCAATAAACTATAACGAACGAGATTAACTGAATTTAAATAGAAACTAAGTGAATAGAAATTTTCTGTGCTGTAGAAGATTTTTTTTATTATTATTCCTAATATATACTATACATTGCCTTTACGATGCAATTTGATAGATTCAATTCATCATTAAGTTTATCATGCAGTGAAAAAAGTCCGTGCCTTGGAAGAGTTGCCTTACGACGAAAAAGAGTGAATCGATTTACTTACATATTCCATTCAATACCAATATATTTTGCTTAGTATGTATTAAAATTTTTAACTTGATCACATAAGAAATTTACTGTAGAGATGTTGACCCGTCGTAGTAATAAATCCTAAAATGCTGTTTATAGGAATCAAAGCCACAAGAAAAGCAGAAAAATTAAAACTTTGCGCCTTATTGCTGCTGCAGGGCTACAGAAATTTTTCCAAACCATGCTCTAAACTTTATTAATGCAATTTTTCCTTAGCTTGGAACTAGGTCGTGCGAAACCAACCAAGTTTGGAAATTAGTAAAGTGCCATAATTAGAGAGCTTGCGACGCATTCTCTAAACTAAAAATCGCCAGTTTTTTCTGTATATACTGCGATTAATAGTTTTTTGAGTTAACATTTTTCTATGATTTCAGTAAGTAATTATGCGAAGCTTCAAATCTATTGTATTTAGCCATTCACAGAATGTTCCCTATATTTGTGCGTACAACAGCGGTCTGGAAGAATTGTAGATGGGGAAAGAGGAAAGATTAAAAAATGATTGATAATGATGAAAATTTTGTTCCTCTTTTAGGCTATGGCTACCATCGTGGGTATGTTCACGGACCCATTAGATGGCTTTTCTAACACAAAGGTTTTTTGAATTTCTATTTTCATTTTAAGGAGCTTAGAACTGAAGAGCAGATAAACACTTAAGTGAAAAAAGAGAGGCATACATTGGCAGTTGATAAGTCTACTAACGAAGGAACAGGCGTACAAGCGAGCTTCTAGACATAAGTAGAAACAGACGAGGATATGAAGAGAAATCTTGACGTACGAACAGGCACATTTCAATGTTATGCGCACAGACGGCTACTTCTCTGACGAAACGACGGACAGGCGTTTGTCAAATAAAAGCACAGGCATATGCTTTACTAAAAACGTATACGGAAGAGTGTTTAAACGGGTGGAGAAAGAAATAAGCACATGAACCGACGGATAGCTGGACAGGTAGGAGGCGGAAAATCTGCTAATGGCTGGGCAACTGAAGCACTCACAAGACGTGTTGGCATACGTAGGACGGAAGGAGGGCGGCCAAGCAAACGGACGAGCAAACAGGCAGGCAGAGAGTCTACTGATGAGTTGGCAGATGAATGAATAGCTAGACAAACGCAATGAACAGATGAACGGAATGGCGAATGAAGGGTTAGGCAAGGAATTTGGGCGATTAGCTGGACAGTCTAGTGGTGAAGGAGCTTAACAAACACGGCTGATCGCGAAAAATACGGACGAACGGATTTGAAGACAGAAGACTAAAAAAACTAATAACTGGGTTTGACACAAAACAGAAGAATATAATTTCAAACATGGGTTGAAAGGTTTGAATTTCGACGAACAGCTTGGTGGCTACATTCTGTGAATTTAGAAAGCAGAATGGACAAAGTAATTTCCTTAGTTCTCCGGGAAGGTCTTTCAATTATTTTCCAAGTGGATTTTAGATTCTGCCCTATAATACTGTATAAAACACTCCTGTATGTAGAGATGAAATATATATGTAAAGGGAACATAATGTTCTGCTCAAACTCAGTTGAACTAAGGCTAAAAAGTATGTGTACATTACATTGAATTGAATCTACAAAATAAAAAACAGAAGTTATATTATAAGATTTTACGATGAATACATGTCATCAGTGCTCAACTAGTTCATTGAAATCAAATGGGGTTTTCAGGAAATGGCAGATTTGTGCTGCCTTTTTATTGATATCGAATAAAAGTTGATTGAATTTTTTAATATATTTATATATGTAATAAAACTCACCCCATAAAAATGTGGAAAATTAAAGGATCGACATTTTTTTATGCTTGATAAACTAAACCAATTGATATATATACATATATATAGGGATATATATGTACAAGTATGTACAAGTATATATATATATATATATGTGTGTATATATAGATAAGAATTTTTTGTATTTGTATATATGTTACATGCACAAATATATAGAAATTTTATATAAGAAATAATTAAATAAATACTTTCCATACCCAGAAAACATGCAATATATATATATATACAATATATACATATGTATAGCCAATATTTTATAATTCATACATTTTTAAACTTTAGTTATATTGAATTTCAATTAAAACACTTTGTTTAGAGAAAAGTTTGAAAAACTGTTAGTAAAACTGATAACAAACGGTTAGTGTTTAGATATAATTTTGTATAAACATGCAGATGATTTTAAATTAACTCTATTCGTTACAGAAAGCGAAGGATATATTAAGTTCCATTTTTAGTATGTTTCTCGGCTTCCCGGGTACGATATTTTTAGCCACTTATAAAAGAGAAGGATTTCGAAATCCACGTCACCTTTTACTAAATAATCTACATGTCTTCTAAAGCTGGTGGGACCATTGCCTTGCCCGTATAAGTCTCCGATATGTTTTTAAATTTCTTTAATGGAATTTTTTGTAGAAAACGATTCATTCTTTTCTGAAGAGTTGTGTGTTTACTGTTTAAGCAAAGGGAAAATTTTGCATTTATCTCGTTAGGAATAATAGACGACCATAGCTGATCGTCTATAGCGTTCTAATTTGTTTATAATTGAAATTGAAATTTCCAAACTCTCAACTTCAAGTTATGTGAACTTTAACATATTTGCACAATTTTCTTTCTCTGTAATGAGTTTTAAGGTTTTGCTCAACTCTGTAGGTATAAGTGGATCAGCAGCACAAGTAACGTGTGAAGTAACCAACAACAAAGCGGACATAAAAGTTTCGAAGCGAATCTTATGTATCCTTTACTTATATATTTATTTTTATATATATATACGCACAGGAACATACATATGTACTTACATATGTGTATATACATTTACGTTGGAATAATTATTCTTAAGAGTTCGGTAATGAACACAGATGAAGGGCGGCTTAGAAACACTACACTTTAAAACGATAAGAACGTAATATCGTTAAGGATGCAAAAACTTGTTGGCCAATAAGCTGATATTACCTTTTATTAAAATTATAGAACAATGATGCACATGAAAGCAGAAAATCATAATATTAGTAACAAAGGTGATGGATAATAATAATAATAATAAATAACAAAATAATAACCATACTAATACTAAATAATAATAGAAATAATAGTAAATAATATTAATTAATAATAAAAAAAGATAATAATAATAATAATAATAAATAATAATAAAATATTAAGTGTCGGCGTTTGTGATAGGCGACTTCTACAGGTAAAAATGGCTACCACACGAATCGCGGTTTCATTGCTTGCCAGGCAAAGAAGGAAGACTTTTCTCTGCCGTATTGTGGCTGGCGATGAAAAGTGGATCTACTAATAATATCCTAAGTGTAAACATCGAGAAAATAGCAGGAGACATCGACTCCCAATCTGAATATTCATTACCAAAAAGTTTAGCTGTGCATATTGTGGTGTAGGGTATTACGAGTTACTAAAACCGAATAAAACTGTTAATGCAGATGTCTATCGACGTCAATTAACCAAACAGAACAATGCACTATTGGAAACAAGACCAGCAGAAGCGGCTAACAGACGCAAAGTCATCGTCCTGCATGACAAAGCTGGGGACACGTTCGAAGAGTTGTTAAGGGTACACTCTTGCAGCTTGGATGGGACACCGCACACCGCTGCCACTCGCAGCGTACTCACTAGACATAGTGCCTTCTGATTACCGCTTGCTCAGGTCAACGCAGCGTGGCTTGACTGAAACACGATTTCACGAACTTGAGGATGTACGAAAATGGGTCGGTGAGTGAATCACTGCGCAGCCAATGTTGTTCTTTAAACCCGACATGGCTATATTGCCAAATAGATGGGGAAAAGTTCTAGAAAATGATGGAAAATATTTTGATTCATATATGTCGCACCAAACAGAATCGATTAAAATTAACGCAAGCTCTTAATAGTAGCAAATACTAATACTAATAATAATAATAATAATGATAATATAATCGTAATAAATGATAAATAGTAGTAAAAATTATAATAAGTGTACCTGTGCAGGCATAACCAAGTGTGCTAAATATTGTTTCAGCGATTGGCGTCAAGTTCGATACTACAAGTACCAGCCAGCGTCGGCAAAAAGAAACGAGATAGCTACGATAAACTGGGACAGACTTCAATCGGCCGAGCAATCACTCCATTTCTTTATTTCTTATGTAACTTTAAAGCCTTAGCCTATTACTTAGTCACATAGACACATTTCGTATGCAAAAGGAATTACTACTACATATATGAGTACACCAGTCAGCTAAATATATTCAAGGAATTATCGAAGGATTTCAGTTTCAGTGGAAACGCATTCTAATATTTAGCAAAACGAATAGTGTTCCAGGTATTAATATGAAGGGGTCTTTATTCGATCCAGGGAATTGCAGTCGTTCTATGAAAGAGTGAGAACAAGATCAAGTATTTCCTTTCGATAAATCTGAACTGTATTATCGTTCCCACATTTTGTTTCAATTTGTCGGTCAATTGTCGGTAAAAGTAAACATAACCACATTCTGACCATTCGCAATATTTAATTTCTTAGGTAATAAAAGAAATTCAACTCTTTTCGCTTTCAATATTTGTTTTTGCTTTCCATGAAATAGTAAATACAAATAGACACATTCTAGATAAATTAATACACACACTAGACACCACTAAACCTCTGAGCTTTGTCTTAAAGCAAAACATTATAGTTTCATAGGAAGGAAGAAAAATATTGCAACAAACACTGTCAGGTCATGTTAAACACATTTCATCAGATAGAATGTACAGCGGTTTTCTGAAAAGCAGTTGAGCGCTATTATCAAGAAGACAAAGACCTACCGCAAACAAAGAAGAACAAAACCGACAACTTGTGCTTTCAAGAATATGTTATCAAAGAAAAATACTGTTTTCTTTTGTAATGCGATAGAAAGATTCCAATGCTATGATGAGTAATGGAATAAATTGTGATGAGTAGGCATCGAAGAGAAAAAGCTCAACACTAGCATTCAGATTGTAATATTCCTTGCTAAAATGATAACCTTGATACCACAATTTTGATACAATAAAAACTTGATGTATGTTGGTTATGAGAAAGTTCTAATTATTTGACAACACATCATGCGATAGCTATCCGTTCATATGTCTGCGAAATTATTTACTATTAATTTAGTTTAGATAAATCGAAGACATTGCTAAGAAATTTTGGGAGTTTTTTTAACACTAAGTTAACCCAAGTTAACTGAAAGACAACGACAAGTTTAACAAATCGTTTTGTCCGAATATATAGTTCACATATTTATAAAGAAAAAACGAACGAAAAGTACATTCATTTATCGATTGTCGTAAATAAGTTTACAAAGCGTGGATTTTAAGGGCTGCCGGATAACTTACGTCATATGCTTGTCGGCATTGTATAGTTCATATAAAATGTATATGTGATTGTATAGCATATCTTCGGACGGGCAATAACTAAGATGTAAAATATGGATACATGAATTATACTGTATGTATAGGCGAATACATATGCGCAACATTTAACGTTGGGAAAATTTTCAAATGCATATCATATTGTCGAACAAAATTAAAATAAACAAAATGTTAATCATACACTCACATGAAAGTTCCATTCGAAACCAGGCAAAATAAAAAAAAAAACATATTTGAAATTATTAAAGATAAACGAAGCTTAACCATCAATGACCACTAAATTATCCATTGTATCCGTTGGATATAGCATAACAAACTTCATATGCATTCGACTTTTAGCAATAAATTGTTTTGGATTATAAAAATGTCTCTCTCTTTGACTTTAACTTTATAGAATGATGCATAAAACTAATTCACTAATTGAAGTTTTATCTTTTAGCAACATATTGCAATAATAAAAAGAGTTTAAGAAGAGCACACAACAGGTCTAGTCACGAAAGCAAACATTCAATCTACTATATATTTTATGGGCGGATGCTGTTAAATGCTTCTCTTGGGCAAATAGATATCAAAGTATTGGTCATAATTGTAAATATTGAAAAGGAGAAAATTTCAAGATTGTTGAGGGAAAAGTATCTAGAGCCCCTTAATCTTAACACAACATTTTGTTTACAATTAAATAAAAAAAATTCGTTTTATTTTTTTTTTTTTTTTTTTTTTAAGAAATTAAGTCACAAATTTAATTTGTTTTTGTGTAAGAACAATTTACTTTTTATATATATTACAAAAACAACTCTCTTAAAAAAAAAGACAATGTTAAAATCTGAAAGAATGTACTTGTGAAAAGTAGGCCTTGCCATGGCTTGTGTAACCTCAATATACTCGCATGAAAGATAGAAAAGTAAAAGAGTAAAGCATTTGCATTGTAACCAACCAACTAACCAATTTAAATGTAATCTCTCCACTCCACCTCACCGTAAGAATAATTAAACCTGTACATAACAATATTAGCTTAGAAACCTAGTTAGAGGAGTAGATGAAGATAGAATGAGTTCGGTAACCAATGTAAATCTATATAAATATCAAAGAAAAATTGTTGTAAATGCAAACAACTATGCAAGAAACATACGCAGGTAAGCATAATGAAAATTCTGAGAGTTAAGCCTAGATTCATATGTGGGACACAATAACAACTATCAACATCAATATAACAGCAAGTACTACGCAACAAAATGTGTACATAAAAGTACATGGACATGTCATATACGTATTCTAGGTGATTAAATGAATAAACATACAGTTTGTAGGACCAGTGATGAACAGGTAGTAGACTCTTATTTTATTTATTATTTTTATTTTTTTATTTTTTTTTTTTAATAATCAAAGTTAACTAACATGCTTGAGTGTATTCATTGTAAAGGTAATTTACAGTTGAATATATTAGGCTAACCTCAGAGATGCGTTAAATGTCAACAGATATATTGTTGATGGTCAGTTGAACTACATTTATGCATGTATATAGTAATGTATACATATATTCCTTGTAATAAATTTATTTATTTTTTTTATCTTCATTAAGATTTGATAAAAAAAACAAAACTCTGATAAGAAGGTTACCTAACAGTGCATCGTTCAAAACAATCCACGCATGTGTTGATTATTCGAGATATTCCAAGAATGGTGTTCAGCTTAAAAGTATGTCTAGGAGTAATTTTTGCAGTACAGCTTCTAAAATACTTCTATAATAAGTTTTCTTTTGAAAGAATTTACAAACCAATGACAATACTTTTCTAAAGATAAAAATACAGACCATTTAGGCTATTAATATGTGATGTGTGTGGGAATCGGCTGCTCTCGGATAGTTGCTGCATTAAAACCATGCTCCATTTCCCTGAATGCCGAACAATTTAAGTAAAAAACTTTCAATATTCTACGACTATTTTAAAGATGATAACAAAAAAGCTGACTATCAAGTATCTTGCATGACTTTTCTTAATAGAATTCCTGATCTAACTTCGCCAAGAATTCCATGCTATACAAACTCTCGTTTGTAAAGAAGGAAGCCCCTAAGAGTATATGCGTCTTCCCCAATTTCTTTCTTGTTGGCCAACAGCATTTTGAGACATGTATTCTGAAAACTCCCTGAATAGGTCGCCATAGAAAATTTAAAAAAACGTAAACCGACTTGGTCTCCTGAGAGTAAACTAGAATTTCTGATCAAAGGATTTATTAACGACTTATTATACTTGAACAAGTTTTAATCAGACGTTGTTGTTACACAGAGGTTAATTTTCTGTTAGAATGCGTATAAGGGAGGAAGCTAATTAGTATGCCGTTAGCGTACAGTTTCCCAGAGAATATAAAGTTTTAAAAAATACACAAATTTTTATACCCTACCCCGCTTATTACATAAAATTTCTTAGAAGGACGTAAGGTCGACTGCTCACGTCGATTTACAATCACTTTATAAAGCGGTTTAAAGTTGTCTGCCCATCTGTTGGACTAATATTTGCCCATATTTTTTTTTGGATACATTAAAATATTCTCAAAGTAATCTGACGAGGTTTCAAGCACTTTCGTCATGTTTCTATGTCTCTGTCTTTCATATGTAAAATTTCATTTCTTCATTTAAAGAATTAAGCAAAAAAATAAGCAAATTTTACTTACGTTCTCTTCCCCGTTCCGACACGTTTAGCTAACAACATTTATTTTGCTGCTCTTGAAGAATTCTCAGCTCACAATTTGGATTTCAGTTTAGCGACGAACGTATTTGCCTTTACATTGTTGAATCAATGAATGAGATACGGAATTCGTTAGGACTGTTGAAAATAATTCCTGTAAATACAGATAAAAGCAAAAAAGGAAAATAAAAAAGAGATCTCTTAAAGAATAAAGTAACAAGTAAAGTAAACGAGTAAGAAAATTATATTCGGTTGCGGCCGAATTTTTTGCATCCATCATCGTTATGCTATAAAAGATTAGAAAAATGGAAAAATATAAATTTTCATACCGTATATTATTCGAGCGGGCGGCGATGATTTGTTCTCTTTCTGTAGAATAATATTGTGGAAATTTGCATTGTGTACCTACTGCAATTTACGGACGACAAGCGAAAGACACGCAAAAGCAAAGCAATTATCAGCTTTTTGCCGCGCAAGCGTATTGCTGTTGTAGGCTTATTCTTTGACTTGTTTGGGCCATTTTCAAATTCTTTTGGGCGATATATTGTCCTTTGCGAACAAGAGAATGTCCATCATAAATATTACATAATTCAGTAAATGCCGCTTAGGATGCATGCTTAGGTGCATTCCGAGTTCGAAACTGGTCGAAAATTTATATATTTTATGGGGTTGTTGAAGCTCGCCTCGTCGCGTTAGAAAGCTATTGAAAAAAAAACTTTTTGATACGCTAAACTGTCGGGTAGACACAGTTGAATTTTCTCGTTCTTGTACAAGTACTACAAAATCATCCACGCAATACACGTTACAACGGACATTGCGCGGACGGACAAGCGGACATGCTTGAATTGATTCGAATTTAATGTTGATTGTGAACATATACATTTTGTGGGGATTATGAGACTTCCTTCTGGGCGTTGCGACCGTTTTGACAAAATGAATGTAGACCATTAATCCTTCGGTAATGGGTATAGAAATAAAGATTTATTTTACATAAATATTATTACTATTATAATTATTATTATTAATTTACCCAGAGAATAAATTCGAAGACTAAAAGTCTTAAGGCGCTAGCATGCAAGGCTTTCAGCTTTATTAAAGACACTACTTGACATTTGAACCCATGACCATTGAGTTGCTAGTCGGGACTCAGGCGGATTTTAAATAAATAAACGCGCCAAACACGAATGGTTTTCATTATCTTCAACGCGTTGCCAATTATTGTCGACGAATACTGTAAAATGATTGTAACTCGGAAATCTTTCGCGACTATGTTCGAATAAACTAAATAAAATATATTTAATGTGGTTTGGTAAATTGTCCACTACATGTAATTTATAAAATATAGGTGCTTGGGAAAAGATGGGAAAGATGGGAAAAACGTTGTAGGAAGTGATGGAAAATATTTTGATTGAATTTATCAATTTTTCTCAGTAAATGCCTTCTTCAAGGGAAAAAGTGATCAAAATGCATGCAACCACCTAATACATACATGCCGAGAGTGGGGAAAAAATTAGGTAAAAAAATATTTTTATCAAAAGGTATGTCAAAACTATACCATACAAAGAAAATATTAGTAAGCAAGACCAGGAGCTTGTCCTAGCTACGTACGCAATTTCTTTCAATAGAAAATTGATCAGTAAATGATCGTTTCAAAGGAATGCAATTGATCCCTATTAATAACATGGTGATGTACTAAACACAAACCGGTCGTTAGACAATGCAACAATAAAAACCATACAAGAGTTATCTATGGCGACATTAACAAAACGCTGAACGAATTGTCGTTACGTTGTTTGAATTGAATTTTACGCTCCACAGCACTTGTGACAAAGATGTATGGAGCTCAGGAGCATGTGATTGAAATCCGCAAGGAGTTGCATTAGATCTACGTCCTATTATATTAAATAATTCAGAATCGCTTTCGCAATGCAATTAAACAGATCTGTCCATCTGTTACTCTAGCCACTTGCCTGTAGATGCTTGTATTCAACCCTTCGGAAGCAATGTTAGAGATATTTTCATAAAATTTAATGCAAAGACGTGTTTTGACTTAAAGACACACGCTTTTAAAAATGGATTGGATCGGACGATTTTTTCAAGTACAAGGTGCTATAATTTTTGCACGATGTAGATTTATTTCTCGTACCACTTTTCGATGAAGAAAGCCTTTCTATGGCAAGAGGAATTAATTAGGTTTATGTTGTGGCAGCAAAAAATAAATAATTTTAAAAGACAATATAATGTGGGATATTTAATAGTCGGCCTTGCCCGTATATACATCGTGTAAGTTACATTTAGTTAAAAATTCCATTTAATTTATTATTCACAGTTTTTTTTCTCTTTAACCTTTCTTAACACTTTTGCAACTTTATTTCGAGAACGTGCCTTAAAATAAACTATACCTCGATTCTTATTCTTATTAATAATAAATATTAATCATAATTTCGACATAGAAAACTGTGACAATGACTTTACTCGTACATGCAATTAAGAAAAATGCTTTGCGATAAGCGAGTTTAACCCTTCGCACTCTTACGTTCAATATATTTTGATAGTGTATTTCTAATACCAACTGCTTTGTTGACATAGAGTGGATATTATATTACTTAATTAAGAAGTATGATGGTAGGCAAAAAAAAAAAAAATTAAGTGTGCAAAATATCAATCATCTCTTAAGTTAACGGACACACTTTTGGAAGTTCAAGTGAGAATATATTAATAAAGATTCGTTAATAACTGTAAATATGATGTAATATGTGTAAATGTGTTATAAGAAAAAATCAAATAAAACGCATATGTATATGTATGACACAGTATGGTTAAGTACATGATATTTATCTCATTTCTTCATATGAGTCACGCAGATACAATACATACTTTAACGTGGTTGGCAGCCTGCGTATATCGGAAAGCAATGTAAATACACGCGCGCTAACATATTTTTGATCTGCAAGAACATAAAACAAGCAAAGCTAAACGCAAATCTATTTAAAATCAAATAAATGTTAACGCACAAAAAAATCATAAACAGCAGCCGTACAGCACAACATCAATAATAACAACACCACCACCACCACCACCAATGAAACAGCTACACGCAGGCCGTCGTCATTCAACAACGATGATAAATGCAGCCAGGTAGGTAATAACAATAAAAACGATAACAACAAAAACAACAAATTTTAGAATGGCCTTGAAAGTTTTTATGCCTACTACTATAGTTGATGTTGTTAGTATTTTTGTTGTTGGTGTTACTGATTTTGAATTTGTTAATTTTGTTGTTGTTGTTGTTGTTGTTGTTGTTGTTGCGGCTGCAGAATACTCTCATTGTTAGTTAAATCAAAAAAGCCAGAGAACACCACCACTACCAGTATCAGTATACCGAGACCAATACATTAACAACAACCTTTCAATAAAGTGCAAGCACATCACGCTGTTTGTAGGCTTAAACGTTTTGTCAAATGTCCCTATGTATGTTTACGTGTGTGTCTGTGTGTTTGTGCAAATATTGAAAGTATCATTTTAATGGTTTAAAATAGTTTTTTTGTTTTTCTTGAATTTTGTAAATGTTGTGTGTATTGTACGCATTTTAAATACTTACAAGCGTATGTGTGCAAAAGTCATAAACGCAGTTTAAAAAAAAAAAAACGAAACCATTTAACCGAAACAAAACTGACAAAAACAAACAAACAAACGAACAAAAAAAAAAACAACTAAATCCGTTAAGACCGGCGCAAAAAGATTTAAGTTAGAATTCTATTGAAAGCTTAATGATACCAAAAACAACTGCAACAACAGCGGCATTAGCAGCAACAGTAACAATAAATAAAGCCTAAGTAAAAATAACGTGTGTGCAGATCACATCTTTCGCATTATTTATGATTTGCGTTTGCAACACCCTAAAAAGTATTCAATGCGATTGAGTGATTGTATAAAAATCCATAAGAGTGTAAGCGTACGTATCGCAAGTATTTATGCATCTACATAGATGTATGTTTTGTATTTGTGTGTATGTGTATATGGTGTGAGCAAATGCATTATATAGACAATGTGTGACACTTAAAGAATAGACTCTTGACTTGCTAAAGGTTAGGCCTCTTAAATTGTTTGTAAAAGCCTGCCTGCATACCTTGTCTATCTGCCTGCTTGCCTGCCTGACTGTCTGTCTGTCTTTTTTTTCCATTTTGCTTAGATATTTCTATAGTTATTCCATTGCTCTCCGCTATGCATGGCAATTGTTTAATAATTGTTCTGCTCATTTTTGTTCACAGTTCCCAGTTGTATGCATTTAAGTGGTCAATTCAATCATTCATGCATACACATGTCTATACACACACAATGAATGCTTACATACATATCTCATTCTATGTGAGTGCATTTATACCATCAATCTTTTCATTTAGTCATGCTGTGTATTAATCTCAAGTTTTTGATAATTTTTGCTTTAAAAATAGTCATAAATTTAAAAATGATGAATTTTTCCATTTTTCCATTGAAAGTATAGACAATTATATGTTATGTATTAGATGCATGTAGACAGATGTAAAAGGTATTCCAAAAAGATTTGATTAAACCAAACTATTATTTATTTTTTTTATTTCTGTAGGCAGGTATTCTCGATTTTGGCCGAAGTCACTACTGTAAGATCTCCATCTGATAGCCTTCTGTAGCGTTCATTCTCTTTCACGCGAAGTTTTAACAGCATGAGACTTCGCAAAAATATCACAACGAATTCCAGCTAAAAAGATAAATTTTTAATGCCACCAAACGCACAGCTGCTTTTTAATGGATTAAGAAAGTTATGACCAACCCTTCTCCTGGTGAAGTCGATGTAAAACAAACGGTATCCCTTCATGTTCTGCGCATGAGAACACAAAGTGTTGTTCGTTGGATAGCACATGTGCTCAGAGTGTGAAAAGAAATGCTGTTTGGAGACACGCGATCGCACATAGCGATCAGGCTCAGGTACTCACGGGTGGCGAAGGTGTGTCTAAAGCTTTCGAAATCCTCAAGCATCAGCGTAATGTGGGCTGCGTGATGTATCGAGGGCAAGTTTTCTGCAGGGATAACCGACACGAGACTTTTACGTCGTTTCCAGCCACTCGTCCTAGAATTATCCACACTTCGTACAACATACTAACGCGACTCTTCGTT